ATTAAGAGTATTAAGCATGGGAATTCCTATACTTAAATACTATTCAATCTACTCTTTCCTCTTCAATGTGGGACTAAAAACCCATAGCTTTCTCTCTACAAAATATAACTTAAAAAAAAATAAAAAAACTATGTTGTTATTTTTAAATGTACACAAGAATTTTTCAAAACCAAAATATTAACACAAACTGTAGTAATGGTTTCACAATATAAACATAAATAACTCTCTATCTACTATAGTTTTTTTTTTTAATTGTAAAGGTTGCAAACATAAATATACATATTATAACTGCAGTTGTTTGACATCGACACTAGGATAAAGAAGTGCAACCAACAAGGCCAGAATTTTTACATATGAACTTACCGATGTCCTATCCACTTATGGTAGTCCTTGTTAGCTCATAATTTTTTTTGCTCAAGTTCCAAATCTATTTCTTGATCAATTTACCTCATTCGGACAAAGGCGTAAAAGAATACTAAAAAATAGCAATTTTTTGACAGATAAGCATTCTAAACATAGTCAGTAAATAAAGAAAGATATTCATAGTTCAAGGAACATCTATACTATTATTTCAAGACAGTATTTACCCCCTATTAATAAAAATCAATGTGTAAAAAGTTCTCTGAGCAAATTTATCCTTGAGATACTATGATCAGAAGATATAAATTATAGTATCTGTTATTCAAATGCACACGATCAACAAGAGCAACAAAGCACCATAGGTTGCATTTCTTAAGAGAAATTTGAATAACATAAAACAAAATAACGATGACAGGTAGACACAAAGGCATGTCTAAATGAGAGGTCCAGGCTTGAAGATATGGTTCCAGTATTAAAACTTATGATAGCTTGAAAATCTATGTTCAACCTAAAGTATGAAATTTAAATTCCTAAAAGTGGGGTAGATCGAGCAGTTCTATAAACACTTAAAATCATGAAAAATAGATGATCCTAATAACTTGTTCGAAGATGTACTATTTTTAATACCCATTTTTTTTTTCTTTTTATTCCTAAATCGGGTTATATCGTTGTTGTTGTGATAATCTCAATTGAAATATTTTCGAACTCGAAAACATTGTTTTAAAAAATCAACACTATTTTCTACTAGATTTATTCTGCTATTAACTTTTGAGGCGGCTATATAAGGTAGAACTCCCTTTGCCCTTTTGAGCATATTTGAAAATCGAAAAAAGGCCTATGTTCACGGTTGCCTACCCAGCCTTTTTATTTTTTTAGAGTAAGTCAATGGGGGAGAAGGCCTCCTACTCGATTTTCATTAATAATAAAAGGAAAATACAACTCGTAAATTTACAGCTCTAGAATAGGGAAGTTGTGCCACAACATGGAGTAATACAAGATAAAGAAAATCTGGTGGTCCCAATTGCCAAACATTGGCATATGAGAAAGCTATAGCTTTCTTGGCAAGTAAATCAACCACCATATTGCATCATGATAAATGTGGATAAGGGACTAAGCAAGATCAGAGAGCTTATATTTACAATTAGCAACAACAACACTTAGCACCCATGGAGCTTTGCATCGATCATGAATTGTACTAACTAGCAATAAGGAGTCCCTCTCAAACTGCATGGAGAAACATTTGATTTGGATGGCCAGGTCAACACCAGCTTGCAGGGTTAGAAACTCTGCATAGTTATTTGATGCTATACCAAGGGGATTGTCAAATACTATGATGAAGGATGCATCATCGCTTCTAATTACACCTCCACTACTTGCAAGCCTAGGGTTTTTGAAGAGAAGCACCATCAACATTCAATTTGAAATGATTTGGACTTGAAAAAGACCATGTAATCGGTATATGCTGCTCGATTTGATATTACCGCCATGTGATCTGAAAGTTATCATTGATGGCTCTCTTTGATAAATGAAAGGACCATGCTTAACATCTACCGATTCACTAACATGATAAGTTATCCTCTTGAGCAATTGTTCCCATCTGGAAACGTTCCACTGAGAAACTCGATGATTTTATTCCGACCATAACATCTAGAGTGTAGTAAAAAATAGGGATAGCTAGATAGTCAAAAGACCTTCTGGCTTGAATATGAAGACAATCCAGGTCATGGGCATGTTTGAAATAGATGTGTTTGAATAAAATCTTTTACTGCACCTCCATGCAATAAATTTCCAACACCCTATGAGAAAATACAATGGAAAAGCAAATGGCAAATATTATCATTATTAGAATGGCAAAAGGGGAACATGGGATATGTAGATATTCGTCTTTGCTATAAAAGAGAGAAGGTGGGTAGTCAATGATGAATAGCCAATCACAAAAACCATTTGGCCTTGGGGTGACACTTTGAAGACCACAAAGCTTTAAAAGCTGGTTGAATGGAGCCTCTATTCCGAATAAAATTCCATGCCTCCTTAATAGAGAATAATTCATTAGAAGAATGGATCCACTGTGGTTGTAACGGAATTATAAAGGCTTCGATCTCCTTCCAAATTCTAACCAGATGATCAAAATTAGGAGAAAGGAGCGACCATGTCTAAGGGGAACCTTATAAATAATCAGCTACCTTAGGTTCAACAAGAACTTCAAGATGTTCATGAACATATGCACCATAAGACTTCCAACTAGTTTTCTCTTATCATCAAGGATCTGCCAAAAAATCCAATGTCCAATCGTTCCCAATAATCCACCTAACATTATGTCTAAGATAAGATAATCCCATTTGAATCCCCTTCTAGCCATAAAAGCAATATTTGTTTTTAGAATCTTGTATGGATGAACTTCTAAAATATCTGTTCTTTGAAAAAACAAGAAATAAGAGAAGTTCGATTTGCAACCAGTCTCCAAGCAACTTTCATCATACATGCAGTATTATATGATACATTACGAATCCCCAATCCACTCTCTACCATGTGTTACCGGAATAGCATCTCCTTTATACGCTTTTGCAAACTTAATGTCTTCCACTTTACCAAGTGAATCCAGTTTTTTCTAATAGCACCTGTCTGGAGAAAATTTCTTTGCAACATTTAAACCATATGATATATGTGCTTAGGAAGAACAAACGATAAAAGCCAAAAGATTGTCGAAGGACTGGGAACATACTTCAATAAGTGAGATCAACTAGTTTTTGTTAATCCTCAAACTTACGAAGAAATTTATAAAGAAGGAAAAAGTTTATATAAAGTTGCAACCTTAAAATGTAGAATTAAAGATGCATCTAAAAAATCCATCGGAAAAGGTTGTTTTAATGTGAAAACCCCTCTAATTGCATCTTGATTTCTAGATGTATGAATATGAAAAAAAAAGATTTTGAGTCCCAGAAATGGTGTATCCTGCAATACATTATCTGGACCGTCCATTTTCAAGATTTTCTATGTTTATAGATTTACTTGATTTTAACCATTTTTGGAGTTTGAAATTTTCTAATTAAATATGGAAATAGATTTTTAGATAATCCTTAGAATTTTTTACCAAAAATACATGTTATGATAAAATTTGGAGGTGCACCTTAATTGAATTGGTTAAGGTTGTAACCTTATAGAAACCACACCCTTATAAGAAATGCATATGTTAGTACTAATATGGGAAACGTTTATATAAGGTACCTTAAAAATGTAGAATCACAAATGCACCTCAAAAATCAATTGAAAATGTTATTTTAATGTTGAAAAAACACTCTAATCGATCATCTCGACATTGAGGTGTATGAATATGAAAAGGAAAAAGGTTTTGAGTTTCAGAAATAGTGCATCTTGCAACACATTATATAGATCTACTTAATTTTAGAGAAATTACCGCTAATATATCTTAATTTTAAGAAAATCGCAAAAAAACCCTAAACTTCTCAAAACCTCTTCCACACTCTTTTTCCTAATTTTTGACATTTTCTGGACAAAAATACCCTTTGTGGTAGTCTTTCTATCGTAATGCATTGCAACCATGACGGTAATTAAAATACCGTTATAAATAGAGACAGAATTATGGTACTTCTAGTACCATAATAACATGAACATCTATTACGATACTTTAATTACCGTAATAATGTAGAGTATTATGATAATTAAAATACCTTAATACCCTAAAGTAGTATACCGTATTATTGCCCAAGCCTCATAACAAAAAATTTTCTACTCTCTAGAGTCTACTATTTATTTACTCCCTCGACAAAAATCCATGCTAGCTGTATTTTCAAATCTCAAATTTTTAGGATAATCTCTACTTAATTTTTATATGGTTCTAAAAAATTTGAAACAAAAACACTCTAAAATATTTGTTTTTGAGCGAGGGAGTAGATCCATATTGTGCTTCCATGGGAGTACGATGTGTATCTACTCCCTCTCTCAAAAACACCTATTTAAGAGTGTTTTTGTTCTAAAATTTTGACAACCATATAAAAATTAAGTAGAGATTATATCCTAAAAATTTAATATTTTAAAAATACTGCTAACATGGATTTTTGTTGAGAGAGTAAATAGATAGTAGACTCGAGAGAGTAGCAAATCTTTTGTTTTGAGTTGGGCAATATTACGATAATAAAAATACCGTAATACTACTTTAAGGTATTACGGTATTTTAATTATCGTAATACTCTATGTTATTACGGTAATTAAAGTACCATAATAGATATTCAAGTTATTACGGTACTAGGAGTACTGTAATTCTATTTTTATTTATAAATGGTATTTTAATTATTGTAATGGTGGCCAAAAATTGGGAAAAACGATGTGGGTGAGGTTTTGAAAAGTTAGGTTTTGTTTTTTGCGTTATTTTAAAAATTAAAGTATATTAGTGATAATTTTTTTTAATTTTAACTAATTTTGAAATTTAAATGTTTTTAATTAGATATGAAAATAATACTAAAAATTTTTTACCACAAAATTAAATATTATGATAAAATTTTAAAGTGCGCCTTAATTGGATTGTTTAAGGTTGCAACATTATAAAAACCGCACCCTAGTAATATTAGAAATGCATTATATAACTTTTAGCCGAAAATCTTATTCGAAACATGTATTTAGTTCATCAGATCCTCCCAGAATCTAGAAAAGCCAAGGAAACTGCAAATAAAGTTATCAAACGCGACCATAAACTTTCTCCATGATATAGTCGTCCTTGAGTGGGAAGGAAAGAAGCCAATTTGCATTTGTTTGAATTTGAAGTTTGAAGTTGGAAATGTAGTAGAATGGTGTTCTGTATGAGAATTTGAGTTGCAAACTCGAAGGCTCGAGCATGGGGGGTTTCAGAGCATTATCTCCCTCTATCCGCTGCTACATTCATGCTCCCTTAATGCAAACCGCATATTCTTGTTTTTCATCTACAAGGTTGAACTCTTTCTCTCCACCTACTGATAGTTGATTGTAAAACTGTGTGATCATCGATACCCTACATAATCATGAGACCCATCTGAATTTTTCTCCCAAGGTTTCGTCCTTGTATTTAAACTTCCGTTCTTGGCAATTAAAGTAAGTTGTATGTTCTAACTCACATTGGTGCTTTGGTCTTATGATTTAGATTCTTGCTTGGAATTCTAAGAGTATCAGTGATTAACCAGTATGGACCCCAGTTCAATAATGGAGAATATAGCCTCTTCCCACAAGGTATATATATTAATTTGCCAGTTATTCTCAAAAACTTTTCTGCTTATAATTGGTTGGGACAGTAATGTTTATTTCAAATTGTGGGATATAGAATTATAGGGTTAAGTTTTCTCGTTAGCCGATTCCATATTTTAATTATTCAAATTTGGTGCCTGTCATTTCTTCCTATGAAATGAAATGATCAAATTAGCAAAATAATCCTATTCATTATCAAAATAGTTGGAATATATCATCATTCTACTTACAAATATGCTGATTAGTCACAACGGATCATGTGACGTACTCGACAACGCACTTTTTTAGTAATTTTGTTTTAAAGTAAAATCGGTTGACATTTTCTTCTGAGGACCATTTAGGATTTTTTGTACTTACTCAGAAAATTAATATGCAGACTTTCAGAGTATCTAATTCATCAGTGGAATATCTGTAATTTTCAGACTACTTATAGCCTTATTTTCCCTCTTTAAATTTAAACCGAACCGACTCCATGAGAGATGACTGCCTTGACCAATTACAGCTTGGTACTGTTTGCTGATCAACCTTTGGGATGTGTCGTTGCCATTTGAATTTTACCCCACAATACTGATCCGTTTGCTCCATTCACCTTCATGCCATTTCTTGTTCTTCTCCATGCTTCTTTGTTTCTCAAAGCAACTTGTACCCTAATCATCAAAATGAAATTTAGCTCATTAGGAGAAGTTTTGTGCCATGTGTTAGTGGGGCCAAAACTTATTGTTGCAAGCGCTATATTTTAATCTATAAAAAAATTATGAAAGTAAAAAAGAATAACCATTTCTGTCCTCCTTGAATGAGATGCAAGTCTAGCTACCATCGGATAGAAGCAATTTATGTTTAGGTTACATTAGTCATTCACTGTTCCATGTGCCTTGTGGGAAAGCCTATTAAAAGTCTTTCCTGATTAATTCATTGTTGTACCTTAAATCATAGCTATCGAAGAACAATGGAAAGGCAATACTGAAAAAACTCCCATTCTCCACCTATATCCCTGTCTTCCCCATTTTAGAGTTATACCTCAAACTTCTATAAGAATTCGATGCTTCAATAATTAGTATCAAGGAGCATCCAATATCTTGTTTCTCAATCTAGAAAAGATAGGTTTGCTCCAACTAGTATTACACAGCACAATGTAGGGGAAAACATGTTTCTTTACACACCAATGACACAAATTTGTTCACCAAGTTTTTTATGTTTTTTGTTTTCTTTTCCTATTTCGGTTAAAAAATCCAAGAGAAATGCACTCATATTCAAGTTGGAAAAAAAATCATGACCAGAAAAAAATGAGCAGCAGTATTTTGAATAGTTATTTTGTTTTATTTTTCACTTTTTTAGTTTAATATTCTTCTATCCCTTGTTACTATCTCCACTACAATATTTGTTCTTATTAGTAAATCTTTTCCAACTTTTCTTCTGCAATTTTGGAGGATGCCTGTGTCAATGACCGTAGGGTTGTTTACGGCATTCTTTGTATATGCTGTCACTACCCTGTCACAGAGACGATGAATTAAGCCGCATCTGAATCTCAAGCTAATATTGATATGCAAAATGACAGACCAATCATGACATTATCTTTTTTTTTCGCCATGCTAAATTTGTTTTAATTTAAAAGACCTTGAAAGTCAAAATGGCATCAGAAGAACAGAGTTAGTTTTCAATAGGATTTGAATTATCACTTGGTGTTATTTAGCCAATTGAAACATCCAAGTTTCACGCCTTCCAAAGGGACATCCTAACCAAAGAAGTCAAATTTTCTTTGGTGAGATTGCAAATCATTCATTTGGAAGTTAATCTGTTATACAATATATGGTAGTTTCAGAGCTCCTCAAATTTGCATTGAAACTAGTATGTGTTCTAATGGTGAAAGACTATACTGAAGGGAAGAATAGTGATAAGAAGCTAGCATTGCCTTTATTTTTTCCCTACTTTTTTAGGTTAGTGTGACCATATTTTTTAAAGTGTTAATCAAAGATGAGATAAAGTCATGATAGCAGTTAAGAGAAAAAGGTTTAAATTTCATCTGAAGATGGTATAGGGAAACACACAAACACACACACGTGCACACACATACACACTGTTACAGCTGCTTTATTACTGAACTTAGCAAGTTGGGATTCTCTGGATTTGGATCTCCATTAATCTATCTAGCTCTCATATTCCCTGAGAGGAAGTGATTAATAGCTTTCGCACTATGAGGAAAGTTTTCTTTATATCTTAACTAGACTGGTGCAATTTGACTATCAGCATTGTCTGCGAGACCATGACAATATGGACTAAACAACCAACCTTGAACTAGTTTGGTACAGGGATTAATTGGACACCTTTTACTGAACATAGGTTAATATGGATTATAGAATGAGAAGTCTCAAACAACCAGAAATAAATTTCACTCGAGCAACACATCTGAAATTGGGACAATGTTTCCCTTGGAATGGAAAGAAACCCTCACATTTATGCAACCAAGAAACAAAGGGTCGTCAAATTTTGCACAAGCATTTCACAAGGAAAACAAAAATCTTTATGACGTGGTAGAATCTCTGACTCACTCTTGTGGACTATAGGAGAGATTTTGAATGCCGATTTGGATATTTTGGAGACACAAAATAGTTTGTAAAACTCTTTCACAATGCCTGATTCATAGGATAAATTTCAGGTTACATTGAGGTTCACATACCTAATTTTTGTCACTTCTTGGACGCCTGATGAGTTTGATATGAATAACAATTGCAGGCTTCAAAACATTGAAATATAATTTCACCATCTGCTGGATACTTTCTGTTGACAAACACATGAAAAGTGAGAGTCAAGAAGCTCTTGATTGAGCCGCTCTTATACCAGTTAGGAGATGAGGATGAAGGGAACAAGTTGAAGTTGTCAGTTATTCATGCCACTGGTCCAAATGCAAAGTAGGTTACATATATGTGTGAGGGAATCAAGAATGTTTTGAAGATGTTTGCCAAGTGTAAATGTGTTTTTTTTAAGGATAAGTACATGCCTTTTTGAAGTATAAGTACAAATATGTCTATGCAGTCGCAAAAGACCGTGATACCCTTCCTGTCAGAAGCATACACATTTTGGGAGAAACTAAATAACAAATGTTGTTGGGAGCAGGACTAAAAAGGACGGATTTTTGCTTGCCAAAAGCTCCCTAGTTAGGAAGCTCTCATTCAATATACTGCGAAAGATAATTGAAAGATTTTGATGCTTGAGTCCTCTTTTAAATTTTGTCCACCATAAGATGTTCTCCCCTCCTTAATACCCAAAATCTACTTCGGTGTGCATTTTGTAGATACCCAAATGAAGCCCATCAATGAAGAGAAAAGGTTGTTCCTTAACAACTTCAGTAGAAAGAGTTTCCAAGAAAATAAGGAACACGTTCCCAAAAGAATGGGGAGGCATTGGGTATGATTTTAGCCCCTAGATCATTGAACCACGTTTTGGGAGCGGGAATGCCACCCCAGTCACTATGCTAAAGAATTAAGATATAAAATAACAGAATCAAAATGATTGCAGGACTAGTAGCTGATTTTTCTGTATTTCTTTTGCTTGATAGATAAAATAAAATAGATAAAAGCACCCTTTGGTTTTAAATGTCTAAATTGCTAAGAAATTCTATTGCAAGTATCCAATTGTTTCAATGGTTCATGAGCAGACTGCAGTACGGTTTCTTTTCTATACAAGTGAATACTTCTATTTCTTTACAGCTTGGTAGAAAAGAAGTAAGAGTATCAAACTATTTCAAGGGTCCATGAGCACACTACACGATGGTTTCTTTTCTATACAAATTATTGTTGCCAAGGTTTCAGAAAACAGTTCTCCCAGCGCCTAGGTGCCTTAGACGCCATAGACTGCCTCGGCTAGGCCTGAGCAGGCCTTTCTAGGCACACCCAAGCGGGCTAAGAGGGCATACAGCACCTAGTCCTAGGCTGGTACATACGAACCACCATAAAAATAGTGGAAAAAAAACTCTTTGTATTTTGTTCCATGAAAAAGGGGGAAGGGCCTTGGGGGATTCGAATCCTTTCAAAGTAAAAGTACTCTTCTTGTGCCTAGATATATGCACAATCAGTCAATTTTGTGATTATTTTTTCTTTGAACCGATAAAATTTTGAAAAGTTCGTAGAATCATTTGAAACCTTACCATATCCTATTGGAATCATTTTGAGGATCCAAGTGAGAATAGTAGAAAACTTTTAGGGTGATTTTGAGCTTGATAGACATCCAAAACATTGAGAGTCAGAGATCAAGCAAAAAGGTTAGTAAACAATATCTATATTTGAGATTTCTTTCCTATATTCGAAATATCGTCTTTGGCTTCTACTAGGAGTGGGCATTGATGATAACCTAGATAAATGTGATAAATACTAAATAATGTGGAACTTTTGTGGTCATGTTTCAAATGTCGGGATAAATGGTTCAAAAAACATCTTGCTGACATTAGGGGGGATATTGCCCCTTGTAAAAAAGATCTTGAGCTTATAAAAAAAGAGATTATTGAATATGTGGAATCCCAAAAAAATTAAAAAATCAACAAAGGAGAAGGATATAGCAAATTTGTGCGCATGGGTAATATGTTACGATGAGTAGGATGATGGAGGGGATGATGAGGTGAGCCAAGTGGTATTATCCATAGTTACCTGGAACGGAAGCAACAAGAGCTCTGGGATCGGGAGCAGGAGTGCGGAGCGAGGTAGGCTCGAAGATCCGTGGTTGGGGAACGAGGTTCATACATGGTCAGGTAAAGGGATCGAGATCCCTGACTTATAGGGAGCATGTTCCATATCTTTACAGGAGCAAGTTCTATACTAAATGAGATCGCTTTCCTCCATGATAAGGATCGAGGTTCCCGAAGTTCACTTATGAAATGTATTGAGCGAATTCCATTGAACAATAACTTTAACTTTTGACAAATTCACAAACCCAGTATCAGTGTGAACAAAATTCATGTCAAATTCTCTTTAACATTTTGTTGTCATTGGAGTATG